CAGGGGGAGGCAGAGGGGGATGTGGATGTGGATGAGCTTGAGAGGGAGGAGGAGGGGGAGGAGGAGGAGGAGGGGGAGGAGGAGAATGAGGAGGAAGAAGATGGCGAGATTGAGTATGTTAGTGGGGATGAGGAGTTTGAGGAGGAGGCGGAGGAGATGGCAGATTTGGAGGATTGGCTAGGGGGGAGTGGGGCGAGTGAGTTTGAGGAGGATAGTGAGGATGAGGAGACGGACAGTGAGGAGGACAGCGAGGATGAGGATGAGAGTAGTGAGGAGGCTATGGAGAAGGGTGCGAGGGTCGTCAAGAAGGGCAAGGTGGATGATAGCAAGAAGAGGAAGAGAGGGAAGACTGTACAACAACCGAGGAAGCGTGAGTTTCACCTAATCCTACCCACCAGGCCTGTGTACAGACCTCTAACATCACATCTTGTGCTCAGGCGGCGCAAGAGTCGAAATCGAGTACGAAAACGAAATGGGAAAACAATCAGTTTCAGCGAGGAATTTGGCGTTCTAGGAATTCCAGATATACTTATAATTTGGTGCTGCGGGATTGTGGCATGCAGTCCGTGCCCTCTTTTTTTTTTTTTTTTTTTTTTCCCTTTCTTTTCTTTACTTGACTTGTTTCCTATGTATCCTATTTGTACCCTTTCTTCCATCGAGAGGAGGAGGGGGAGGGGGGAGGGTAATTATGACAATGTCTTACCTGCCGGCAGATATAGCAATCTCAATCTGCCTGTAGAAGGCTTATTTGTGATATTCTCTTGAGGCTACAGCCTTCACAAAAAACTCGTATAAAATAAAATCATATAAACTCGTATTGATTGTTGATCGAGTGCTGGGTCAAGCCCGTCGTTGTTGTGTCCATATATATCTGCGACTTTTCATCCGTGGAGATCTGCGCCCCATCCCTTCAAGGTCCTGCCCGCAACACAACAACCACGACTCGACGGTCCGGCTCCACACCTATCTTCTCAACAGCACGCAGCTTCAGCCAGGGCCATCATTCGAAATCTCGTTTCCGTCATATCGGTATATACCAGCGCGAGCTAGCCAAAGAGACTTCTACACTAGCACACGACACACGACACACGACATACGACACACGACATACGGCACAGGACGTAGACACACGACACCCACCAACGCAAGCAAGCAAAGCAATCAACCAATCCCTCCGCTTCCCATCGATACCTCTCTACTTTTGGGTCCATCAGCCTCTCCCCCTTACATTCATTAACACCCGCCACACCTCCCACAATGTTCTCCTCCCTCGTAACCGCCACCAAAACCCGCTACGCCTCTCTTCGTGCCGGCGACGAAGCTGATGGCGACACTGAAGACGACTCACACATCTCCCGCGTCCTGCGGACCTACTACACCGAGCAAGGCCGCCCGTTCCCCACCTGGCTTGGTGGCGGCCCTCAAGTCCAACAGCATCAACAGCAGCAGCAAGGCGTAAGTCTCCGGCGTGGGCAAAACCCCGGTGGGCCCCAGCAAGGAGTCAAGAATACTCTAAGCGACATCTGGGACACGCCTGCGAATCAGCAGAGGCCTGGTGCGCCTGCCGTGGCGCCGCAGGGACAGGGGCAGAAGCCGGCAGAGGGAATGAATAAGATGAGGTTTTTTAGGAGGGATCAGGGGGGGAGTAATGGGCCCCAGCAGATGCAGCATGGTCATCAGTACCAAGCGAGCTCGGGTTACGATGAGCCCCCGCCGAACCACGCCGCGCAGAGTACTATTAAAGATCGACTATGGAGTAATCGCGGTGTAGGGAATCATGCTACTGCGGGAAGGACGCCGAGTCCCCAGTTATCTGCTTCAACGCCACCACCGCAGCCGCAGCAGCAGTACCAGGCATATAATGGGGGAAGTAGTGCAAGTAAGGGATATAGTGCCAGGGATAAGAGTCCTGCGAGGGGGAATGGGTATGGTGGGAATGGGGGTAGAGGTGGTAGCGATAGGCCGGTGATGAGCTCAACAATTAGCTTTAGTCAAGACAATTATGAGTATGGGGGCTATGGGGGGCATAGTGGGGCTGGGGGCAGCGCGGGAGGGAGTACTGGAGGTTCGTCGGGGGGCCATAAGAAGAGGGCGCCGCTTGCAGGGGGAAAGGTTGGGCTGCCGAGTGGGCCGAGGATGCATCGATAAGGGGGCTATTTTTAGTTTATGATAGAGCAGAGGGGTTCCATATTGAAGAGTTGGACCGGGAGTGGGCGTGCATAGATCTCTAGTAGAGTTTGGAATTGAGGGTGGGGTGGGGGGGGGGATATCCAGCTTCATACCAGTTTATGATTCTGATGAAACGGTGTTTTAATGTTTTGTTTTCTTTGCTAGACTTTTTGTTACATGATGCTTGCTTGCTTTCTTTAAGACACCTTGTCTGTTTTTCTTTTTTGTGGGGTGTATTTGTGGATGAAATGTGTATATGATTGTTTGATGGCAATTTGAATAAATATACCTTTTATTTTTTTTTCTTTCTTTTTTTTTTTTTCTTTTCTTATGTGAGTAGAGCATTGTACTTAACGTCATTGTTTTTCCTTTCTTTTTATTAGGGTAACATTAAGACTACTGTACATTAACATCTAATGATAATGCTGCAAAGCTTTGCAACAACGACGACGTTTGCCCAGGGAAGATATCGATGCGCAGGATATACAGTCCCCTCAATTCAAAGGGCTGTGGTGTATATTACCGCCAGCGGCCCCAGTCTACCCCGCCCCATTCGAATTCCACTCACTAGATACACCAGATGCAATTCCACAATCACCACCACCCCAAGAACCCCAGAAACCCTCCAGAAGCCTCCTCGGGCCCCCCCTCCACCATCACACAGCCAGCCCAATGACCCTAATCTCAAGGACGAGCAACCTCCCCCGCCCCCGCCAAAACCGCGGCGCGTCCTCCCAATCCTAACAACGCTCCTCTTCCTCACCACCGGCGCCTACATCCTCTTCCTCCCAATCCTGCACCGCAACCCCAGCCCCAACCCCCCCAACCCCAGCCTCCAACCCCCACGCATCACTCCACCCGCAGAAATTCTCCCCGTGGATCCTCGTCGCGCGGGAACCCTGTACCAATCCGACCATAGGGGCGAGCGCGCGGAGTGCGATTTTCACGTTTAGACCTGGGAGGAAAGTTGAGGCTGGTGGGGGTGGAGATGGGGGGGAGTGGGATTTCAGCGAGTGGTGGGGTAGGGGCGTCTGGAGCGTGGAGGTTAAGCAGCCGGAGTTGATGGTGAGTAGGAGGTATACCCCCTTGCCGCCTGATGTTGGTGCGGCGGGGAGGGAGGGGCAGGGGGAGGATGGTGGAGAGAAGGAAGGGGAGTTAAGGATGTTGATCAAGGAGGAGGAAGGGGGGGAGGTGTCGAGGTGGTTGTTTGGCCTGCCTGTGGGGGCGGTGGTGGGGTTTAGAGGGCCGAGGTGGGAATGGATTGCCCCTGCTTCATGGAGTAGGCAGGGAAAGGAGGATAGAAATCTGGATCGAGAGGGGGAGAAGGTCGTCGTATTTCTAGCAGGTGGAACGGGGATTGCTCCCGCGATCCAAGTCTTCCGAGCTATTATTGAATGTGAAGCGAAAAGTTCAACACCTCCAAATACAAATACAACTACAGATACAACTACAGATCGCACTACGAAGCCGCATACATCTTACACCATCCTCTGGGCTATACGCACCCCCTCGGACCTCCCCCAACCCATTCTCCACGAACTAACACACCTCTCCCAGCTCGCCTCCAAATATAACATCTCCCTCACCCTCACCCCACATATCGACTCGCAAGCGCAGTTCATAACACAAGCCGACATCCAAGCTGCGCTGACCCCTCCCGAGCTCCCCCACCACAACCACCACCACCCGAACACAAGTCTGTATGCACCCTCGTGGGGTGAGTGGATTAAGGGCTTCTTTTTCCTCGGTAGTGCTGGGGAGGAGGAGAAGGAGAAGAAGAAATCAAATGTGTATGTGGTGCATGACCCCAGGGATAAATATATCTTCGTCAGCGGGCCAGAGGGGTTCGTCAGTTATTTTGCGGGGGAGAAGGGCGAGGATGGAGAGAGTCAGGGGAGGGTAGGCGGGGTGGTGAGGGAGGTGGTTAAGTGGGGGAGGAAGATGGAGAGGAAGGCCTTGGAGGGTATGAGGTTGGAGAAGGAGGGGATAGGGGAGAAAGTGGAAGAGGAGGGAGAGCCGGGGGTGAGGAGGGCAAGGTGGTTTGTTTGGAAACTTTGAAGGTTGGGCGGGTTGGTGGTGGTGGATATGTATATGTTCTTGCAGGCTCGCTCACGGGTGAATGTCCATACCTATATCAAGAAAGAAAGCAAAAAACTCGCCATCCTTTTTTGTGTGTGGCCATAATTAATTTGGGTCCCCCATCACTTCAGGGTAACTTATCTCTTCAAGCAATTTTTTATAGCAGTTGATTAAAGTCACCCTCCTCCTCTGATAGCATGTAACGTAGAGGTTCGAGGAAGCTTGTAATATATATACTTCTAACTTACTAAACCCCCCCGATCCCCCACCAATAATACGAGCTCCAACTAATCCCTCCAACTCCAATGCTAACTTCGAATAACAAAAACCAAGGACAAATTATTAGTTAAGCACTCTTTTTCACAACAACTCTAGCAATAATATCGGCCGGCCCTGGTGGGGGGAGGGGACTATAGCAAGTTAGGTTATGTTGCCAAATATTAAATATGAGAATGTCTAATATAGGGAGAGAGAGGTCTGACTATACCTAACACTTGAAAATATATGAACATGGAACGATTATGGCGCATCATGTACGCACGAAAAGAAAAGAAGTATTAGCACTAACTGAACGGTGTTGTGATACCGGTATATGAAAAAGTAAAAGCTCCCCGCACCACCCACCTTCCCTATGCGTATCACACAAGCTCAACACAATATACGAAAAACGAAAAAAGAAAAAAGAAAAAAATGGGGAAGGGGAAGGGATGATGGTTTTATGTGTTCGTATAAAAGGAGAAAGATTTGCTTCTTGCTCACACTGTGATTCGAACACAGGATCTCGTCATAAGATAGTACTAGTGACGCGCTTTACCACCTAAGCCATGCGAGCTCAATGTAGACTTTTATTGTGTATAACTAAACATGATTGGAAACTGTCTTTGGCAAACTCAAGCAAGCTAGCTATGCAACGTGGTAATTAGTAAGCACAGTTCCTAGGGGAGTCATCAGAGAGCAATGTGAGCAAATGCGAAGCTAACTTTGCTCGTAGAGGCTTGGCATGAGACTAAGCAATGTGTCGTCATGGAGCGTTGGCGCATCGTCTGATTGCCAACGATACTCTCATCGCTCAAGAAGTTTTTTAAAAAAAAAGCCCTGAATGGCCAAATCAAAAAGGTATGCTGCAAAAAAAACTACTTTGCTCACACTGTGATTCAAACACAGGATCTCGTCATAAGCCAATACTAGTGACGCGCTTTACCAACTAAGCCATGCGAGCGGTGTTGACGGCCGTCACAAATGGCATCTAAATGACGGCTGGCGTACATACGGTATGCTCAGGGTAAGGTGAATACAATTGCATCGAGTGACAAGGTTAACAGGATAATTGCGTCAATATTGCAACTTGACATACTCTCAATGACCAGTGGCGGTCAGAGAGTTGAGGGTAATTCCCAGGAATTTAGGGAAAAAATTAATTCAATACTAATTTTTGGTTTTTCCTGAGTGAAGCTCCATTTATAACGGTTGTAGTCAAAAAATTCACCATTTGTGGTAGTAATAGATTTGCCTCCTTGTAGGCAAATTGATGTCCCGCACTTGTATTTGTACGTATGCCTCCTATTCACTACCTAGTACCGTTTTCATATAGGCACGTGCCCACATTATTTTTTTCCTTTTTTCTTTTTCCATTTTCCATTTTCGGTCCGTTTACTTCTCTTTCAGGGTAACTAAATACTGCTGGCACAAAGGAATGTAGACTACCCAGGGCCCAGTTTTGGTTGAGGAGCACATACCGAACCAAGGATATCATTGAACTCTGGGTAACACGAAAATTAATCATAGCATGAGATCACTCTACAGCTTCTAATGGTTGCTTTTTTTTATTGTACCGGATACCATGAAAGCATAATAGGAAGGGCGACTATTAATGGCAACTATGTGAGCTTATTTCGCCGGCATGATACCAGCCAGTCCCAAGTCGGGCAAGAGAACATGGCTCGGGAAGTGCCGGCAGCTCATTGCAAGTAGAGCATTGCTCCATCGCGAAATTGTGGCTTTGCGCGCTGTCTCAAACAACACAGCCCCTTGGCACGACCAGCATAGCAACGCTAGTACTGTAGGAAGCCGTCTCAAGCCACACCTGGAGTGTGGCACAAACATATTTGTATCAGAGTCCTACGATATGTACACGGGATCATCCACTAGGCTTGTTATATCCCAACTCAAGATATTAGATAATAATTCGCCTCCACTCTCAGACAGATCTACGGTGCTGGCCCCGATTATATAGTCTGACCTCGAATTTATCTTTGAATTGGTGCCACGTTTGGAAGTTCTGCAGTCAGTATGTCATTAGTAGTCTCACTTCATGCACTTTGCTCTACTCTATTTGATGCCAGACTAGCAAAATCTTCCGGAGAGGTGGTTTTTTTTATTTATAGCTCCTCAATTGACAACCAACGGAGTGCACACTCTAGTCATAAACATCGGAAAGAACTTGTCTCGTTCCGCAATACCCCGCGTCATCGATTTTCGTCGAAGGGTTTTTATGACAGCACAGCGTGCGGCCTACATATCATCTCTCCGTACGAGGCTATATCCGCATGTGGTCTCAAGAAGGTATGTGTTGATTGGGAATACACCTCGTCAGCGATTCGGTAAACGGCGGCGTGTCCAGCTTTCGATACCAACCCTGATTGGGGCGTGGTAGGGAATGTGGATGTCACAAGAGAGGGACATGTTGTGTGGTGAATCCACATAGGAATCTTGTCCTACTGCCAATAGGTCTGGTTCCCAATTTTCGGAGTAAGCTGGTCGTCAATACAAGCTCGATAAAATACAATCAGGCTGGGATATTCAATTTAAAATGGGAAGGGGCAAAGTTGTGGACAGGGGTTGTCAGTGATGAGTGTAGAAGAACAGCCTTTGGAAGATCGAATGGTATAAACGAGAAACAGCCCTAGGAAAGTATGTGAACGTATAATGAAGTTCCCGAAGATAAGTAAGAACCTTAAACAACGGATAGCTCAAGCCACCGAAACGTCAAGCAGTAACTTCTCTATTGTATGCTGCAAAATACCGAAGAAGCTCGTCTGAGACGCATTATTTGTTTCGAGTGTAATTGTCAATGAGGGTAGGACGGTAGCAATTGGTTGTAATGTTCTGAGAAATGGTTGGAGGAGCATCAAGGAATATGGGATGTCGTTAAAATATGGCAAGGGCGTATATGAGGAGATTAAATGGTTCCCGAGGAAGCTGAATTTAGTTTGCATTCAGTCGTTGGCATCAGTGGGGAATTCCTCATCGTTCCTGTTGTTCAGAAGATAAACAAATAGGTCTTGGTCAAGGAGTCAGTGTTGTAAGATGATGGCGAGCGGAATTTTTGAGCAAAATGGGGTCCTGCTGGAGCCGGCTTACCTTCTGAATAGCTTGAGATATGTAAATAAAGTAGACCACCATCAAGCCCAACTGTCTATTCCCTTTCTCCATATATTTTGTTCTACCTACCTCCATATCCCTTACTTTTCTCTTTCCCCCTCTCACCCATAGTTTGTAAGATAAATTCTAGTTGTATAAAGTGGCGTCCTGTGGTTACTATATGTTGCATAACGCCCGTATGGTAAATATAGAGTAGGAATCCTCTCGATAGCTACGTGAAAAGCATCTACGGGAATATATATTGTTCAAAGGTAATTTTTTGTGTTTCATCATTATGGTTATGCTTGGTTCCTTCAAGTCTTGTATAGGCCAGAATACGCTAGAGTCAACTGTGTGTAGGTTAGAGGGTTCCGTATTTCAATTATCAGTCCAATCTCATTAAGATTGAAATGGGAGCCTAACTAGGGGGCCATGGAGTAAACTTTCCGTACCTGAGCAACAAGCTCTCGAGGCTCGCTGATAACCATATGAAGCGGCCGGCGCCCCCCGCATAGTATTTTAGCAGTCGCCCAATATCACTAACCTACGTAGCTTCCACAAGCCAGCACCTGCACCACTTCATCAAAACGAAATATTTCTGAACCAGGGGGTGTAATTCTGGGACACAGTGATCTCGGATGTGTTCCTATTGCCACAGTGAGTAAACACGAGTTAGCCCTTGGCTGAGATTCCCTCTGCCTAGTTTCCTAATGGGGTTCACAGCTCGAGAAATCCCGCCAAAGAAAAATCCGCAGGCCTCTGGGCCAACCATAGCATCTGGAAGGCTTTGCCGAAACAGTGCTAAGAGGTCACCTGAGACCACCTGTAGCAGGGGTGAGTTTCTTTTCTCTCCCCAACATCGTGTTCTTCCCAGTGATCTGTAGTTCAGCTAGCCTCTTGAGACTAATTACCCGGGCAACCCACAGTCAGCAATGATGTTGTTGCAGTCATACAGAACTGAAGCTAGCGTGGATCTCCCGTTAATGAAACAGAGCCTTATTCCAGATTCGATGCAGAGTACCTGAGTGAGCACCCTATCTCGTTTGATAGATCCAACAAAAGACGCCAAAGAGAACCGGGGTAAGGTATGTGAAACAGTCACGTGACATAGGTCATGAAGTAAGGATTTTTATTTTGACCTAATTTGTGCGTGTGGTGGTCGCCTGCCCCAGTTTTTTTGTCGTACCGGTACCGGTACCCCAGGTTTTCCTGTCTGTGCCGCAACTCTACCGCGGGACAGGGATTTGCCATCCCCTGATCCATGGAATTTCCCCACAACTGCCCCACTTCTGTGCTCTTTTTACTGTAAATTAACAGGCGTGGTCGAAGGGGCAAAAATGGAAAACCGAAAAAGGTAATTTATGCAGACGCCGACGGCGTCTTCCCAGGTTCCTCAGTGGAAGGCAACTCCACCACAGACAGTACTAGTGATTTCCTGCATACTGTCATGCCAAAAGCCCAGCTCCTCTCCACATAATCAGTCTGCGCATACTATCCTCAACCGCACATGCCAATTCCAATTATTCTACTATAATAGCGAAATTATTGCGGCGCTTTCCCCCTCTGACTACTTCTTTCTTGAACTTGAGGATACCGCCTTGGTTCTTTAAAATCCAGAGCTGGTACAATAGTTTGCTGGATAGTTTTTGTCGATACAGGGAGTAGCCCAAAGAAGTCATAATATTAGTGAGCCGTTTTTCATCTAGATATCGAGAATTTGTAACGCACGGTGCGGGTAATACCAGGAATAAGGACGGGAAAAGAGCGGAAAATTGTGGATCTTCAAGCTTCGTATGCTGGAGAAATAAGGTAGTTCTTCGTAGCATCTCACCACGCTGTGCTGGCGATGGTACGTAGTTTAAAACCAAAGACAGCGAAATTATATCAAACTTCTCTCCATCATCAATTGGAATAGAGAGTCCCATGAAGTCTTGAGACATGATATCTGGATGTTGAGAGTGGAGATCTATTCCGGTGACTTGAAACATGGGCGACTTCGAGCACGCATTGGTTGTACTAAGTGCCCCAACCTCTAGCAATCGTAGGGAAGGCAGGTCTATCATTTCTTTCGATGGTTGAGCCTCCTTAATCCAGTCCATCAAAATCTTGGAAGAGTCTCCGCCACGTTTTTCGGATTGGCCAGCAATCTATATCAGGTGCAACGCTCATTAACATTACTAGCTCAGCCTAATTTCCTGCGGGGAGGGCCGGTAATATCACTTACACTCGCTTGCTGGTACCACTCCAACCCCCCATTAGCATCTATTTCTGCCTCCAGGCCTTCCGCTGTAACGGAGTCGCCGCTCGCAACAGCTTGTGCCAGCTTCTTCTGTAGTGTATGATGACGATTGATCACAGTCCGACTTGTCTTTGATGACAAGGCAGGATTAGGGGCTTTTCGATGCTTTCGAGACAGCAAAGTCGGGCGTATACGTGTATTCTTTGTTCGTCGTCCCATGGTGCGCAAGGACG